TGAAAAGACAAATCTATCTGAATCCTTTCCACGGGGCTGCAAAGAGGCCATAGGGGCAGAGATAGGGCTGGAGACAAGTGGCTGACAGAGCACGGCCTGCAGAGAACTGACAGATGAGGGATTACAGAAATTAAGAGAGCATTTGAAATCAAGCTAGCAGCAATGATGACCATTCACTGATCCTACAAAGTTCTTACCATGTCTGTGAATTCAAACAAACAAAACTCTTTGAATATACAGGTTTAGTTGGCCTCCTTCCTTCTAGAGCCTCTGTTCTTGAATTAAGGGTATCTGCTTTAGTTATTAAAGATAATCCTTCACCTAAACTTTGACACCCATGAACTGGTTCTCACTTTTCATCTTGTAATATATACAAACACTAATTTCAACCAATGTTTGCTAACACCAAATGCATACATAATTACTATCATGAGCTCCTAAATACTGAATAAAAATGGATAATTTTTAGAAAATGTTGTTTTTATCACTTCAAATATTACCTTCTGGCAGAAATTACCTCCTAAATTTTATCTATCTGATAAGATTTTTGGAATATTTTAATTATTTTTCTGCTTTCAGTAAAATTAGAATGAAGAATTGATGTTCCCCTAGCCTATCATAAAAGGAAGAATAAAGATGTGATGTAGAAACTGTATTCCCAAGTAAAGCTATCAATTTGAGTTAAAAATGACAATACATTTGTATAAAGCATTTTTCCCTTTTAAACTCAAATACATGTATTATATACAGAGCAGCTGAAATCTTTATGTTCAATTTTCCCACATTTGAAAAATAAAAAATTTCTTAGTTTCATTGCATTACAAAGTAGAGAGGTATTATTTTAAAAAACAAAACAAAACAACAGTCTTCCACATTATGCACTTGTAGGGCAAAAGGGTCAGCCAAAGAAACCAACCAATCCCTGAGCATGAACTCTAACACCCTGACCCTCAACCCAAAGCCAGTGAATAAACACTTTAGCCCTGAACCAAGAACCTAAGAAACATACACTTTGGCCGGGGGAACCAGAGCCAGTGAAAGAAATATGCCCTGGCCCCAAAACTAAGGCCAAGGGTTAAAAAAGGTCAGTAAAAGAAACACAATTTGGCCTTGATACCAGAGCCAACTCTGCTCCTAATAAACCAAACTAACCAATCTTGGAGCAGAAAATCTTCTCCTTGGGAAAACTCTACCTCTAAGAAGCCCTACATAAGTTTCCCTCTCAATTCAGGTACAAGTTGTCCTTTTCCACACAGGCAGAGGTAGTACCTCTCCTGGATTCTTCCTTCCAAAATAAATCTCTTTCTTAAAAGAGTTTTCGATGAGTGTCAAAAAAAAAAAAAGTTTTGGGTAAAGCTCATCTTTGGCTGTTCCCTTAGAAGGGCTGAGCATAAAACTAACTTTTCACCTCCAGAAGGAGGCAATTGCTACATTTCTGCAAGGGCTTCCTCTTTAGCAAAGTGAAGGAGAAAAACAAACACCTTGGGCCAGAGCAGAAGAAGCGGGTATCTCTGCTAGGATGTTCACTTAGGGGAACAGAACAGAGCTCAGCAGTAAAGGCTCTCCTAAGAGAGGAGCAGGATTACCACATCCTGAGAGGAGATCATCCCCCACTGCACACAGCTTCAGGTATAGCCTGACTTCTCAGTAAGTCAGGACCCAGCTTCCAGAGCTAATGCAGCTCTAGGTATAGCCTGAATTCCAAACAAGTCAAGACACCTTCCCCTCCAGAGCTGTAACACTTACAGTACTTGATTCAAGTAAATTTTAGAACATAGAAAAAACACAAAAGAGAATAATGAAACAATCTACTCTACCATGACCAATTAAAGCCATTATCAAGTTTGATATACTAATGTTTTTCCTCCTTTTTGGATTTTTGTTGTTGTCATATTTTAAAACACAGACCCAACATGCAGACCAGGATGGTCTCAACTTGGCAATCTTCCTTCCTTTTCCATCCACTGCTGGTATTGCAGACATGCAACACCATACCAGCTAGGCAGCGTTTGGTGTATGAAGTTTTGTTTTTAATACATGCTTAGACATCAAACTTTTATACAATTCGTATAAAGTTAGAAATATTTTATACACACAGAAAACTTCATTGTGTGACAATGATGCATTTGTGCCAAATGGTATTTTATAACCTGCAGACATTTAGCTAATCAAATGTCCTTTCTGTTTGTGCTTGCCTGGCTACTGCTGAATTGGAAAAGCTGGGGAAATGTGGAAAGCGTGGTTTGTCCTGGCTGGATGTTCCTTCGGTGTAAATCCTTCATCATGGTGATCGCACCTCAGACCTTCCCCATGATAAGCCATAGTGGATGGAATTAACAACAGTCCCAAAAGGTGACCACCATGGACAAGAAGAAAATCACCAAAAGGTCAAAAATCAAGTCCTTTGTGAAAGTTTACAACTATACCGCATCAAGCCAACAAGGAACTCCAGATGGGGAGACTAGGTCAAGCCTAAGCAGGGGTACAGACAGCTTCTGACTTAGATTGTTGTTCGTTTGTTTGCAAAACTAAAAGGAAAAATTCTATGTCAGTTACTCTAATAAAAGGATACCCTGCTAATTTTCACAGAAAATTCCTACATAATTATATAAATTTTTGATTAATACTATGCTCAAACATATAAATGATACATATAAAAATATGTGACTTTGTACCTATAAGAATTCTGAAAGCATGAATATTTCTAATACTTTAAGTAAAACATTTTCTTTGGTACTTCTAATCATAGCTCTCTAAAAGTACCTTGAAATGACGTAAACTTACTAATTTTTCTGAGCTAAAAAGAGGTGCCAGGGGGCTGGAGAGATGGCTCAGAGGTTAAGAGCATTGCCTGCTCTTCCAGAGGTCCTGAGTTCAATTCCCAGCAACCACATGGTGGCTCACAACCATCTGTAATGGGGTCTGGTGCCCTCCTCTGGCCTACAGGTGTACATGCAGACAGAATATTATATACACAATAAATAAATATT